TATATATATATATATATATATATATATATTGTATAACATGAACTATTTCATTTTTTTGGTTGCAATAATCATAGCAACTAATTAAGTTATATTTTGTGTTGGGGCTACAAAAGTTTATTTCGAATGGAAAAACAACAAGCTTCAATTGGAGTACAAAAGGAACATAAACTCAACGTCGTTAAGGATGTGGTATGCTCTGACTACTTTTCCTTTTATTTTATGACACTGCATCAGTTGATCACGTGATGCTTGTATAACAGTAAAAATATGATGTTGCACCTACTTCTTATGTAGATAATCGAAGGTCGAAGAATCATAGGATATGAGTTAAATTATGTCCCATCTCAATCTTATTTTGCTGGAAAAATATACTTTGTGAATGGCAAAGAAAGGGAGGCTCGATTTTTGAAGTTCGAAAAATCGGAGGAAGCCTTGGCTAATAAGATATTTACTCAAACTTCCAAGTTAAATCATGCGTGGATCTTGAAACCTTACTTCTTTGCTTATTATGAACCTCAAAATATTTGGATTTTGTGCTACGATCGATTTGATCAACTTCTAGGTGAAATGGTGGACGATGAGGATCCTGCAATACCATTGATAACTAACAATCCTGATCGTCTAATTCGTTGGTGGCGCAATGTAATTCGGTATAATATGTTCACGTCCTTTTTGTTTTTGTGTTTCAAATATGTATTTTATAGTAATTAATACTGATAATGTTTTTGATCCATTGTGCAGGAATCTTTTACGAGCAGTAAAACATATACATTTTCATGACCTTTTTCATATGGGTTTGGAAGACACACGCAATTATGTTGTTGTTTCCAATGGAATCAAGATTATTAATGTCCAAAATAGTTTGGAAGATCTCGATGATCCTGTATATCCTGAACAAGTAAATTCGTGGAGAATTAAGGACTTAAAAGCACTGAGGAACATGTTAAAGAAAAACATACTGTTACCGGGATATGATTCTTGGCTTGATCGTAATTATTTCTTTGATTTCTTTGATAATGAAGATTATGAGTAAGTTTACTAGTGTTACAACTTTTATTTTGTTCCTAAATGTACTAAGTGAAAAAAATTACGTAGAATATGTTCTTTGGCTCACAAACCTTAGTTTTTAATGATTTTTTTTTTCAGGTACTGTGCATTTGTGAAGCAACTAAAGAATCATCCCTTTTTATTGACTCATGCGGAAAGAAGGCGGTGGTTTGTTGAAATAAGGCTCCTCGTAGATGAAAGTGAGTTGAAGAGAATATTAGATGATAGGGCATTCGATGAGTATAGAGACTGGAATTGGTTTAAAGATAAGGCTCCTCGTATCCAAAGAATATATGAAGATCCGAACAATAAATATGATGGTAAAAGTGTACGGGACCTTGTAGAATTTTTGAAAGATGTATATCTCGATGGGGAGGAGGCTGCGGACACTGAGGTCAGAAGATCGTATATGAAGTTCTTGAATCAGATATATACCTTCATATGAATGTAAATGTAAGCAGTTTGAATAAAATACTCTTTTCTTGGAGCTTTCATCCTTATAATTACAGTTCGGGAGTTGGGAGATAACTGTTTTATTGGGAAAGTTTTTAGTTTCTAAAGAATGTTCGAAGACATCACTATTTTCTTCTTGGCCATATTTTGATATCATGTATGCCAAGTAGCAATGATAAATCTTATATTTACTCTAAAGAGCACACAAGGGAAGGGAGGGGGTGCTAGTTTCATGCTCCATGCTTGAGTTAGGTTATGGGGATTCAAGTATATAACATGTGCATGGAAAGCTAGCTACGGTCAAGCTTGTATAATTAAATATTTCAAGCCATTTAAATCCTTGTCGAATTATGCAATCTAATTCTTGCAATTTATTTTTGCTTATTATGTATTTGTCTATCCCTTCGTCAAGGAAAATTATGATTGCAATGAATAAACAATATAATTCTTGATAGATGTGATACATATACTATTTTTCGTATGTATTGTGAGTTCGAATTTTTGATTCTTTATAATTTGTAAGATGCACACATGAAATCCTGGCTTTCACCACTGCTTGCACACCCTCATGGTTGGCCCTGACATTATCTTATTTATTGAACATCAATGAGATTTAGACTTGACCAAGATATAACAACAAATCAAAAATTCCACAACATGTGGAACTCAAAATTTTGAAAATTGATTTGGTTTATGTAGTATTCTACTTTTAATATGAATTTCAATTCAAAACAAGAGGATGTGAGACAAAGAGATGTCATTATTGTCTATAAGAAGACGGCTATAGATCAGCGTATGCTTATATGTATATATATACCTTGAAGAAATAGGCCGCCTCAAGAAAGTATATTAGATGCCATATCCATCAACTTTCTCTGCCTCCAAAGCAAAGTTTTCCTTTGATGTCATCAACGGAGGAAAAACTTTGTTTGTTGTCATTTTTATCTTTGTCACTAGGATATTATTCTTTTTATCAGAAATAACACAACAATCATCTTCAAATTTCACCAAGAATCCTCTTTGCAAAAGTTGTCCCACACTTAAACCGGAAAATTTCGATTTCTATCGCTGCATTTCAATTTTTGGTACCAAAATCACAACAACAACAAAATTAAATAAATTTGACTGTAAAATGAAAAAATAAAAAAATTGTTAATAATAGGAGTGGAAAAAAGTGGTCCCGGCGGGGCTCGAACCCGCGACCTTCGGCTCATAAGACCAACGCTCTAACCAACTGAGCTACGGGACCGTGATGTTAGGTAAATTTTGAGCCAAATTAGGAACATACAGCACATCATAGATAAGTTTTGGAGTACCTTCTTTTGTTTGCACTGAAATGATACATTTGCCTTCCACGTTGTGTAGTTTTCCATCACCAAGCTTGACTTGTGAGTTCACCTTTTCTTCTAACTTGACAAAGCATTGCTTATTTCCTGTCATATGATTACTGCATCCGCTATCCACGTACCAAACATCTTGTGAATCTTGATGTGAACTGAAACATGTATAAAATAATTGCTCTTGAGAGTCATTGTTCTCAGTAAAATTTGCTTTCATTGTTTGTTTGACATATGCAGTCTCTTTATGAATGGTTGGGTATCCTGCACCGAGTACATTTGTATCGGGGATATGCACTTTTATGCTCATATTTGTTGCAAACATAGCATTGAATGGATGATCTTCCGTTTTCATTATTTGAATTATTGCTTCCTTGTTGATTATTGGAATTGTTGCTTCCTTGTTGATTATTGAAACTGTTGCCTCCTTTGTTGGAGTTTCTATGCCTGATCGGTTCATAATTGTATATCATTTTGTACCCTTCTAGCTTATGATTTGGTTATGTTTTTGAGTTAAACTTGTGCTTTTAATCCTTTTTGTGTTTATCTTTCAGTTCATTGAGCTTTAGGTAATAATGATGGCTTTAGAGAGCATAATTCATGCAATTCAAGCATGTTAAGGCCTAATTTGGATGAAGGGAAGAAGTGCTTAAAGACAAACTCATTTTGGCTATAGCCCCCTGCCAGTCCAGTTCCGTAGGTCATATTGCAAGCTTTGTTTCAGCAATCTACACAGCTCGGATGAGGCAGCATTCTTCATGAAAGTTGTTCCAATGGGTGTGTACTATAACATATCCAAAATTCAGCCCCATTGGATAAATATGGAGTCTGTTACCTAGCAAACACAAAGCCATGCTCAGGATGGATTTTATCAGCGCGCAAAATGAGTTAGCAATTTGTTTTGGCCTTAACTTCCCCCTCCGACCTTGGATTGGCCCAAATGATATATGGCTGGAAAGAAGACATTCTGAACTTCAAGTTTGACGGCGGGGCTCGAACCCGCGACCTTCGGCTCATAAGACCAACGCTCTAACCAACTGAGCTACGGGACCGTGATGTTAAGTTTTCGTGCAGTTATTATATATAACATAAAATAAAACAATATTTGTAACAATGGGATTTTATCCTTTTTACAAGTAGTTTGTTTGGTTTCGTTTTCTGATGACAGTGAAAACCAATGATCACGACATAACAAACAACTAATAGATAGTGCATAGGTAAATGCTTATTATTATGAGGGTGTATCCATCTAGCTTCACCTAAGAATATTCAAACATATATGATCTAAATTTGCGTAGCTAAAGTTTCGAAAATTTTCAATTTGATTCTGACATCGTGACATGATATTATTAATCTACTAATATTGGAAGATGGATATTTCTTAAACGTCATGACACATCAATTATGTAATGTTGTATGATGTATATTTGTTATATGTGAATTTTATGACACATCAACTAAGGATATTTCTTTTAGGTGAATTCTATGACATAGTCCGCACACAATCCGTATATGAGCTTGTCGCCATTGTCGTCATTTCTTTGTGAAAATTATCTTCTTTGCATTACGTGGCTTATTTTAATTGCTTATTAAAAAGGTTATCGAATCAGATAAAGATAAATAATAATCAGTCACCCACTTCAGGTCTCGACTTGGTAAAGCTGGTTCGTGAAAGAAGTGAGTAAAAAAAGAGCGAAGATGACGCTGGGTCTGATCAATGCGGTGCTTCCAGTGAACCAATTAATTCATGTAAAGAAAGCGTAGATAAATCTTTTGATTCTTCTATTGCGACAGCGACATGATCATATTTTGGTGGTAGACTTCGTAAAGTTTTCTCTACGATTTTCTTGTTTGGAATTGTGTCCCCATAACATCTGATTTGGTTCACTATCCCAGAAACCTTTGTGAATAATGCTTGAATGGATTCAGTGTCTTTCGTTGCTCGCACTGAAGATCTCCACGCTGACGATGCCGTTGATCCTCTCGATATCTATGATATCCTTTCCATTTCTCGCTGTCTTTTTATTTATTTATTTATTTACTTGGATTTTTTTTTCTGATTGATATCTGCAACACAGTTAGTTCAATTAAGCGAAATGATGGTCTTTGTTTTGTCAACTTTGCTGAAATTTGCGATCTTTGACTGGAAATTGTAAATTTCGTGAGGGATATTAGAGATCCAGAGCACCCATATTCCTTAGAGCAGCTCAGCGTGCTTTCAGAGGAATCGATCACCGTTGATGACAAGCTCGGTCGTATTCTGTGAGTGTTTCTGAGCTGCAGTTCAGCTTTCTCTGATCATTTTGATTCTGGGTTTCTTAAGAATTTACCAAAGTTTTGATCTTTTTCTTCTTCTTCACTGTTTTGGTCAAATTCATTTTTTAGGATAACTTTCACGCCGACTATTCAGCATTGCAGTATGGCAACAGTGATAGGTCTTTGCCTGAGAGTTAAACTAAAACACTGTTTCCCTCCTCATTATAAGGTCAGTTTGCTATGTTAGAAATGTTGGTGTATTTAGCTTTCAAGCAATTAATTTACGCGTCCTGTTTTCAGTGCGATCTGTTTCAGTTATGAGGCTGACAATGAGCGTAGTTGCAACTTGCAATAGGGACCAAAGTTTGATGCATTTTAGTCCATTGATGCTAGACGGGACACATCATTCTCTATTTCTCTCGGATAGTTCGCACTTAGCTGCTAGTTGGATAATGTGATAGTTGATGTATGCTTGACCATCTGTTAATTGGCGCATAATGTGATCTTCTAGCATTACTTCAACTATAAATAATCTCTCATTTCTTGGGGATCCCCTAGTTTTCCCTCCTTTTTCCAGAGGGTGCATAGAGAATCTATCCTAGCGAATAAATTCCAAGAGATAAAGAGATACAACTCTTCATAAGAAACTTGTAGGAAAAAATACAAATAATATGCATTACTTTTAACAAAATCATCCCGGATGTAGCCAGGTAGCCTAGCAGTTTGCATTGTATAATACGGGATAGTTGAGGTTACCGACTGAATTAAACTGAGTTTACCATCAATGAGAGAGTATTAGTCTTCCAAGAGGACAATCTACTATCTGGCTTGAACTTTGTCAATAACTTCTTTGTAGGTGCGTCTAGAAACTCTCTCTTGGATGAGAGGTAAGAGGAAATGGGAGAAAACATGCACTGAAATCATTTTGAAATATGTATGCCAACTATCAAACCTTTAGAAAGTTCAAAATTAGAAACTTGAAATTCTTGCAATTGTTTTGACAGTATCAAATTTTCTTCATGTGCCTCTTGATACTCAAAAAGACTAGTATCTGCTCCAACACATGTCAGAGAAAGAGTGAGAATGTGAGCTGGTACAAAAAAAATTGAGCATTTTCAACTGAAATTGACAAATGATGAGAAATGGAATTCATGTCCATTACCGTCATGTCTGAAAATACAGACCCGCTTCTGCCTCGCGAAGCACAAGAAGCCTCTGCGGTCGTCCCAGGAGTAGACATTGGCACCCTTCGCCTTTGTGATCACCGCGATGGTGCCCAAGTTCGGGAGGCCATGAAACGCTATTGACTCAGACAGTGATAGAAGGAGCTCTCTTGATTCCAGGACCTCCATGGAGACCAAAGGCTTCTTCGAAAAACCGGACAAGTTTCTCTCCAGTGTGTCCGGTTCCTGATGCAGCTTGTGCGCGTGGTAATCGGAAGGCGGAGAACGGTCGGTACTGGAGGAGTCCGGAGCGTAGATTTTGAGAGAAGTCATCCTGTCATGTGCGTAGGGAACTGTTGGAGTCAGACCAATTGTTGTTAGATTGGTATTCAATCCGCTTACTTCGGTCTAATATATTTAGGCAAGAAAAGCTAATACTGGGTTATGAGTTTTCTGAAATAAGGGAACAGAAATACATGGACAGACACATTAAGTAGTATGCCATCTAAGAACCTAGTCATCCTGTCATGTGCGTAGGGAACTGTTGGAGTCGGACCAATTGTTGTTAGATTGGTATTCAATCTGCTTACTTCGGTCTAATATCTTTAGGCAAGAAAAGCTAATACTGGGTTATGAGTTTTCTGAAATAAGGGAACAGAAATACATGGACAGACACATTAAGTAGTTTTGATATATATTACCAAGCTAGTTGATTTTTCCCTCGAGATGTGTCAAGTTACAAGAAAGCATCAATCTTATTTTGGGAATTTCCAGGGTGCAAGAACTAACTTTTCATCATTGTATGTTGACATGTTTCTCCTCAAAATGAAGGCTGAGAACTGAGATTGTAAAGTTGGCTCTTTTCATTTTTATAGTTAACAAGCAGTTGAATGATAAAGAAAGAGTGGCTGCTGCCCTGGAGAATCCCAACCTTCGCCAACTCGTGGACGAGTGCCTGTATTCCAATGAACTCTGACCAAGTAAAACTTCACAGCTCAAAACCCACTGTACAGAAGAAACTTTAGTAGTTCATATGTAATAAGAAACTGCTTTGTTGTATTGTTAATCTGCCTTTTTGCCTCTATTAAGTGAAGTTGCTTTACAGTGAGTGGCCTTGTTATGTCTACGTAAAGTTCATCTGCAAAAGCTATCATGTAAAATAGGAAGGAAAACATAAGTTGCAAAGCGTGTGTGTGGTCTGTGTTTGGATTATCTTAGTGTCTAATGTGGTTGGTTGGCTGGCCATCTTTTGGTGTGGACAACCCGTCAAATAAAATAATCAGAAATTTCATCAGTTTATGAATATAAAATTAAGCCTGAGATGCCGCCCATGCGTTTCAATCTTTCGTCAGTAAACGGTTTTGCTTTGTTTTCTTTTCCCTTCAAATAGTCTTCTCTTATTTTTTATGTTTTGGTAAAGACTTCATATAGTCGTCTATGTGTTCGACACCTTAAATCAACGTACTTCTTAATCGCAATTATTTAATATCTCTAAAGTAATTAAGGAACATCATAATTCTTACCATCCTGATAAAATGGAAAACAAATGGGAGTATGCATTGAATTTTTAGGTACCAAGAAATCGGATAGCTGACCCCGACCAGCTATGAACAAGTGTAACTAAGTGCTTGGAATTGGTTAGCTGTTTATGACCTGAATGCACCATGCTTAAGTTTTGCGTTGTAATCGAAATGAAATTTTGAAGCAGTTGGCAACAAAGTTCTTAAATCAAGAGGGAACAAAAGATACATTGAAAAAATAGAAGAAACATATTACAGTGTATGTTTTAAGGTGAGAACATTAGGAAAACAACACAGAGGTTTGTCTGTTTCCCTCATGGTTAGCAGTTAAGCACGGTGGACCACATGTTTATTAACCTGCATCAAGGAACTGAAACATGAACATTCCAGTCCACATTTTGGAAATTGAAACTAAACTTCTATATATAAGTTCAGCTCCTGCTCATCGTATAATTTTTGTGATTCTTCCTGATCTGGGCATTAGGCAGGGTGCTCAGCTAGCTATAGGTGCAATGGGGAGGGGCCCCGGCACCACCTCCGCTCCTGAAAGCCCATTTTTTATGTGGCAAGGCTTCTCATCAAATCCCCAGAACTTGGCAGTTTTCACATCATCCTCAGCCATCATTCGTGAAAACTCCTCATGGTCGTACTTTAGGGTGGCTTGACCCCCGAACTCACTCGGAAGATTTTCAACATCAAAGAATGTCTTCATGAGCTCTACACTTTCTTTACCTTTGGGGTATACAAACTTCACCTTCTGAAATGTCTTGGGATCCAGGAAGTACTTGACAGCCTACAGAAGTGAAACCAGCGGGAAGTTCATCAAATGACAGATATGCGTGCTAAGCTACAAATAGTGTACCAATAAAAGTGTATATAAGTGAACTTGTAGTACAACTCTTATCTAAAATGAATTTTCAGATTTACATCCATGAGTTTATCAGGTTGAACAGGACCCTTTACTGAACAAGCTTGAAGAACCCATGTTTGAACTTCTGCGAATGGCATACTGAAAAACGGAAATGAAGGCTATTCCATTCCATGCTGCAGATCCTCATCCTCTTCTTGTGTGTGTGTGTGCGCGCGCGCGTGCCCGTGGGTGTCATGCTAAGTTCAAAAGTTGAACTGTTCTAAATCTAGTGGTGGAAGTAATCAAATTGCCTTCCAGTTGAAATTTAATTAACTAAATTTTATTTTCTCAATAAAGTTGAAATGTTGGTGCTCAAACTTCAGTTGAAGTTTTGTGTGTGCAGTGGATGTCCGTGTCAATAACAACTTAAAAAATTTCAACAGTTAAGTAGTTCAAACCTTCCAGAACGCCTGAAAAATCCTTGGTGGGTTATAAAGAAATGCAACCGCAAGCCTCTCGGGGTAATGGTTCTGTAGAATGTAAATAATATCACGGGCTGTCTTGACCGAGACATTGGTGTTCAACGAGAATCCAGAGAAGTCAACCAACCACGACATTTGTTCTTGACCTTCAGGAAGGTTGAGGATACCATTTTCTATAAGATAGACTAAATGGCGGATATTACCTTCAGGTGAGTTTGTGTTCTGAAAGAAAGAAAAGAAAAAAGATAAAGAGTTAGATCTATTTACTAAAATCTACAGACAGTGTAACCAATTTTTGTGGGGGGTGGGCAAAGCCTACAACAGACCTGCATTGCTGGCCTCATTATAAGCACAGTCCTCCCAAGTCGATCATGGAAATTTGCTCTTGACACTTTCCCAGTCTCACCTTCATGTGCTATTTCATGCTGAACAATGACATATTTCCATGGTAAGCAAGTACAACTTAAACCAAACGATAGTGAACTAAAATTTAACATCAAGAAGTTGCAGATCATGTAAAGGAATTAAATGAACGCACTACATATGCAATGTGGTTAGAGAACACCATCTGAGTCCACAATGAGTTTATTCTGCCATATCTTTGATGTGGACTACATGAAAACAGCATATGCAAGCTTAGGCATCCTAACATTGCTTCTTTTTCTTTTATTTTCAGTTAAGACCAAAGACTCAAGGCCCCATGCCCTCATGGTTTTTTTTTTTCCAAGGTGATGTTATGTTGATTTCCACAAGAATTCACACTTGAAAATGATCGTTTTATTTGCAAGCAGAGGTAATAAGATATTAAAAGAAACAAACAGTACTAGAACCGCAACGTATCCATTTCTAGTTTTTGCATGTCAGAAAAGTTCATCTGAATTACCCAACGAGTTTCTTCAGGCTTATAAGTTGCCCTCCACCTGAGTGTCTCTTCCACCATTTTCTTCGCCTTATCAAGATTCCAGCTCCGAGCTTCCAAATATCTCCGAAGGCATGCATCAGTGCAGTACTTCAGATTACGTCCAGACAGGGGGCCAAGTGCAGCCCTGAGTTCTTTGACCTGATTGCAAATTTGTTTCACCCAATGTCAGATTTCAATATTTGTTATGTAACTTAACCTTTTCCGTTCAAATTTGTTTTGCAAATAAGATAAGAAGACAAGGTTTAAATTTTTTTGCTCATTTAACAATTATCATCATGTGTATGCTAGAGAAGCCGATTGATTTACTTGAGATTAAAGCCCTTTGGATGGACAATTGTACGCTAGTTGTTTTCCAACAAAATAAAAACCCAGAAAAGTAATTGAATTTGTTACCTTTGCATCTTTTTGTGCAGAATCATCCTCTGGGGATGGTTTTTGAGCTTGTCTTCTCAGAAGATACATGTTGGTCACCAATTGACTTCACTTCAATCTACAGTAATAACATTGGTAAATAAAAGGCGAAACAAAAATCTGTAGGTCCTTTTTTTCTCTTGAATTCCTCTTTTAAATACAATCAGTGTATCTACAACAATGCATTAACTTTTAGAAAAAGCAAAATTCACCAAGCACTTCACGTCAAAACAGAAAAAACTTAGAAATCCAAAACATGAAAATTCTTCTACAGCATATTGGAAAACTAGTCGATCTTCATGTTTAAGCTACTATTCATCGAGATTGAACACAGCACCTTAGTTTCATATTTGAAGCTGAGATGTGGTGTGCTGGTCAAATCCCTCTAGATAAAAACGATCATAATAATTTCTAACAAAATCAGATAATCATTCAAGATCCATTTTAAGAAATGGTCAAAAGGGTCTAGCTACACTTATTGGAAAATCATTTGGGAGAGACAGATCTAATTAAAACTCAGGAAGAAAAAAAACATGAATATGCAAACGAGAAAAAGGAAAATACCAAACTGGGTTAAGTCTTGATCAGCTATGCGTTTTTAAAAAAAATCTCAAAAATCTCAAAAATCTCATCTTTTATTCTTTTGTAAGCATAATGAAATGAATAGCTTAAAACGTACCTGGGTTCAGCAGAGGAGAGAATGAAATGAAATGAATCAGCTCTTGGTCAAGCGTAGGTAGCTTTTTGCTTAGCCTTTTACGGCAATTAAAAATGTTACAGAGACAGAGACAGAAGGGAGAGAGAGAGAGAGTCTGTGTGATTGGTTTGATGTTGATTCTTGACCTTTATGAGGGTGTCATTTAGTGGGTTTTATTTACCAGGACAAGAACAATGTGAAGGAGAGAAGGGAAATTGCAGGAGTTGGCCATCTCTAGTTGTCTCTGCATTTATAGTGTTAAAAAAGGGTAGGACTTGATGACTGAGAATTGATGTTTGCTGTGTCCTGTGTGTGAGAGGCCACCAAAGTTGGCTCCAAGTCCTTCAAAGACTGCGACTGACTTTATCAAAGTGGGGGGTTTCTTTGTACCTCCCCTTGGCCCGCTCCCCATTCATTTCTCATTTCTATTTCCTCTATGTTTTCCCTATTTTTTTTTAATATTAATTTCTTATTATATTTTTATTTTTGTGTGAACGTTTTCCATCTAATAGTTGAACAAGATCTTGTTTCCCAAAAAAATGTTTATACAAGATCTGGCTAGTGAGGTGTTTTACTAATATAACAAAAAAAGATAATTATCTGTAGATATGGATTAGATAAGTTGATTATGACTGTATTTACTTCTTTACATCTAAATTTTGATAAAACCAAAAAGGATTTTCGCCACCTATTTACGTTTCTTTTACCAAAGAGTATATCATGTGGTATTGCCATAATAAAATGAAATCATATTAGAATAAATTATTTTAATTCACAATTTGATCATGCTTATTTTGTTTGACATGTGATAGATATAGAAGTAAACGGTGAGAATACGTCTTAAATTAAGATGGTGAGTAATAAATGAACTCATGAAAAAAATTCATGTTGCTTGATTGTAATATACTAATATGTATCAATTACATTAATAATTCTTCTTTTCTGCAAATGATGTATTAGTATAGTGGTTTAGAGCAATTGCTCCTTGAACCTTCAGAAAAAAATTCATAAATTCAAATCCTAATATCCATGTAGTGTGTGAGTTTAATATGTTATCGCCTCTCTATATGGATTACCAAGATAATTTTCACCACCTTCATTTTTGATCAAATATCAAATATCAAATATCATTATTTCCATAATCTTTCTACTAATTATTGGCATTGGCATTGTGGCCGAAGTTGCGTTATTGACTGATAATTTTCACCACCTTCATTTTTGATCAAATATCAAATATCATTATTTCCATAATCTTTCTACTAATTATTGGCATTGGCATTGTGGCCGAAGTTGCGTTATTGACTGGCCCCGCCTACCAAGAAATAGGGTTTTGGGTGGGAAGACCCATCCCACTTTATTTTAAAGTAGTTCCCTTTGCCCTTACATATTTTTTTACATACATTTCAAATGTTTCTAGAATTCTTAACATGTAATAATTTATTCTTTCTTTTTCCTATTGGATAGATCGCCGGCTATAGAGGAGGGAAAAGCTTTAATATTTGAATTCCCATTAAGAGGCAACATTCTACCTGATTTTAGTATTTGCTTTAAGATGTGTTGTCCTCTAGGTCTCCCAGGTGTGCCATGTGTTCATATCCTATAAAAGATTGCACTTTTATTATAGAGTTGACTACAAATAATTGCATGATTAAAAATTCAGCATAATTCGTGGGTACCTCTCATTTCTTCTCTCTACTTCTCTTTGTTTGTTTATTAACGCATGAATCACACTAATCAATCATGGAGGACCAATTTGCACAATTATTAAGGATTTGGACTTAATTAATCACACAACCTTGTGTTTGGTTTTCCATTCTTCTATCTATATGGCTGTTAAAAATATTACCTTACTTTATCATATAAAATAAAAAAGATTATGCGCAAATCGAATCTAGCCTAGTGGGAAAGGATCTTGAATTGCAGATCAGTTGTCTCAAGTTTGAACCTCCATGACACCATGATAGTGTGTATAAAGGGACTTGTAGCTCAAATGGTTAAGAGCCCCTGCATCCTAAATCCTAGGTTCGATTCCTCCCATACTACTGGTATAAAAAAGATTATATAAGGGCCAACCTCTGTTGAATGTAGCATTGGGTAGCTGAACCTCTTGGTTGTTTGTTTGTTAGGACTTGGGATCGGGCATCTTGAAAAAAATTTATGAATATTATCACAACCAAATGGCTTCAGTGAAAAGTTATGAAAGGAAAGCGACTAGAAGCTTGGATCGTCAAAATAGGTGCCTCGTCATATTTCTGTTGGGCTATAAGTTTGATCCGCGCATTAAAGTTGACAATCAAAACGCCAGATGGTTTACGGAATGAGTCAATATCAGAAGCAAATGAGAAGAAGTTTTTTAGGTGCCAATTTAAAAGGGGAGGCCATGATATTGATAGTGATATTTGGCTCATGTCGTGAGGTCCAAAAATGTATACGTTTTGATTTTGTTACAACCGCCCAAGCCTTGGCCATGGGAAGTGATAGTTTGGTAATATTATCGGTTGACTGAAAACAATGCTACTTGGCGTGTTTTGATCCGGATGATGAAATTGTGAAAATGACCGTACAACGTTTCATTTTTGGGAGATTCACTATTATAACCAATATAGGAGCCCAAATTATAATATAAAAAATCCTTATATCAAATGAACTTTAAAAACACACCAAAAGTCCATTTACAACATAACAAAGAGGTTTTTATAAATTACCATCAATTTCTTAAAACAGGCCTAACCGCAAAACCTCATAAAAATACCAAAAACACTCAGTAGGGTATCAAAGTAATTTAATAATCAAAATTAAAAGGCAAACTGTCATTTTGTAGGTTTTTTTTGGATTTATTTATAGAAATTAAATTGTGTAAGATTTATCTATATCATTAGTGCTAAGAATGGGTATAAGACTAAATATCTCTTCTTCTTTTTCTCTATTTCCTTTGATCAGGCTTCATTTTTCTAATTCTTTGTTCTTATGTGAACTTATATGGTTGACTTCGGGTGTAGTGAAAATGATTGTCCTAGTTTGAAGTTAACAAACCTAGGGCGTAACTTCAACCGAATGAGAACATTCAAACCGAGATCATAGAATGCTTTGAGAACATTCAACCCGAAATCATAGAATGAGAACGGTCAAACACAAAATCAGAGGGCAATGAGTAGAGAAATCCGAGATCGTGTTGACTATGAAATGTTATTTATAGAGATCAATAAAAGCTGATATCCAAATTGAATTTATATGCAAATCAAGAACAATCTTGAAGTGGATGCAACTAGTATGTATCATTAGAAGTTAGAACTACCAAGATCTCAGGCTGGTTAAAGAACATAAATGGCCCATAATAAGAATGAGCTGGGTGGGTAGATAGATACATAAGACTGCAGGCATTAAGTTTGAGCTTACACATCCCGCATGATTTTGTACTCTCTGGTCTTTGGCAAATGGGCATTGAATTTCAGACAAATCATTGATATGAAATCTTATACTGGCTAAAAGAAGAGCATAAATTTCAATGACCAACAACCTCCCAAAGCCACAACTGGGTCCAGGGATCCGGCTCTCTTCCACCACACCACTCACCTTCTAAAATAAAGCAACAAGAAAGACATAGCCTCGGTTGGAGGGGGGCAGCTGCTGTGCAATTTATGAAGTTTAGAACAAGCAGTAAGTAGCAAGCAGAAAATTAGAGGCAAGTTTTTAATGGAAAAGCATGTGATTTCCTTAAAAAGGATGCACTCACAAATGTGTTTATAAATTACATAATGCAATCCAGTACCAGATAAACCAAGTTCATTGCATAAACCAGCTCCTGTTGTAAAAAAAAAATAACCAGGAGAAGATCAAAAATATTCATTTAGAAACAAACAATTTGATTCATGTAACATTTGTCAGGCAAGAAAACAAAGAAAAACAGTCACTTATTTTTTTATTTTTTTAATCTTGCATTCTCTCCTCTTCTCTTTATTTTTGGAATAGTGTCATCCATTTACAAAGGAAAGTGACTTACTTTAAACACCCGACTTCATAATCCAAAAGATAAACAGTTCATCACAACACAGAAAATGAAGCTCTCCTTTTTCCTGGTCCTCAATAGCTGGGCAGCCCATCAAGTTTTCCTAATAAGGGAAAACAACCCGTAAAGAGCCCATGCACACCAAGACCCCAATTGAATGTTAGGTAACATGTAAGCGAAATAGGAGGGACAAGATGACAATAAAATTCCGACCAAAAACGTAGTATAAATTTTTCAGAAGGGAAACCCAGCCCACCAAACCAACCGCACGAACAAAAGATGGTAGATCTGGGTGGATTTGAACCACCAACCTCTCGAAAGCCCAATAAGGACTTTGAGCGCTCTGCCATTTTTGAGCTACAGATCTTTTGATTTCACGCAATTTCCCACGGGCCGGCCTAGAAATAGTCTGACAAATTCAGCAGCCGGACACCAAACACTCAAAACAAATCTTCGGATTGCAATTCCAGCAGGACAAAGCAAATCCTACTCTCCAATAAGTATTCTATTTTTACGTTAAGATTGATTATATATTTCTAATCTTGGTCATTAGCCATTTAATTGCATTCATTTTGCATTCATTAAAAATGTTAGAGATGTAAATAAGACCAATTACCTCACCTAATACCCGCCGCACAGAGTTGAAAGTAGATTTCGGAAGTGTGGCGTCTATTAAGCATAGAAAGCACTGCACTCCACTGTTTTATACCTCAGTACAGAGCCTCTCCATTTTTGTGAAACTATTCCTCAAGCACAACAGCCGTTAAGTCATCGAAGGGTTTGTGTGAATAATATCTTTTCAAGAAGGGTCTGTGTGAATAATATCTTCTCAAGAAAATGACCCGAGAAAACGCCCCAAAAAATAATTGGGGTTTTCAACAATAATGTTGGACCTAACTACATTAAACACCGGTGTTAGTATGTATCATCTTCCCAACGATCTACTTTACTAAAAACTATACCCAAACTTCTAAAAACCAATTTCAGAGAAACAAACACCAAGAAAATTCCAGAAAGTGCAGAAAAGTTCACATCTAGAATGTTACAAACCGAGGTAACACTTCCTCAAAGTCAAAAAGATTCAACTTGACAAATTCGCTGGTCTCGCAACTTCTCTAGGACGGCATGAAACCAGTATTACTTCAACGGAGCATATATTTGGGCAAGTCTTATGAAAGGGTAATGCTAAACTTTACCACATTTTTATACCACATTGTGTAACACAACTCTTATAGAGCCCACCAATACAATGGGACCCATCTCTATAAAAGAGGTAGTAAACAATGTGGCACAAAAATTTGGTAAGCCTAGCATTTATGAAACTATAGTTTGGTTATTGAAACAATACCGCATTTATTTAGCGACTCAGATAAATGAAGGTAAGACGACCCAACCCAAAAGACTATCAACTACTCATGCATTGAACTCATCTTCCAGCCCAACTACTGCAATCCTAATCCATCCCAACCTCACCCACCTTCTCCTTTCTAATTCTGATTGTATCAATCTCTAACAATTAAACAACCACATGAAACACAAGCATACAAAAATAATATCTATAAAAAATATCCAATAAAATAGAAAGAGAAAGAATAAATATTTACTACAATAAAGGATGTATAAATTATTCATCTAATTCAATTGAACAAAAGATAGAGTAATCCATGGGCAGATAAAACTACTAACATGAATAAATATAACCATACCAAATAATCCTTGAAATGACTCAATTAATGAAGGATTACTGTATAAAGTAATACTGAATAGTGATAATAACTTTAAAAACAAAGGCAATGCGAAGCTCAACTCAATTCAGTTTTCACCTCAAAGTTTCGAGAAATATTGCAGACTAACAGAACTTGAACCTTCCCGCAAACAGCTTGTAATTGAGAAGAGTCTTGACTGGTTTATAAACGAGTAGAAACATTCAGGCTTCACTGAGGAAATTGCTTCCAGCAGCCAAACTCCTACAAACCATCTATAATGGGAATACAATCCATTGCTAGAGGCAATATCAGCCAAAAGCAAAAATAATTACATAATATTACAAAGGATCCATAAATCTTGGGAACCCAGAATATACCATAATTTCGGAAGTGCATACCCACAAAATTACAAATAAGAACTCAAGAACCACCACACAACCTCATTTCAGCGCATACAAGAACTGTACTTAAATAAAGACAAGAATTGGTGCAGCTGTATTGAGATTTAGTATTATAAGTACGGATTGCAAAGTATTGCATGATGAATTGAATAAGTGAAGGGTGGGATGTGAGATTTGGGCGCGCACATGATAGCATATAAAAATGGATTACTGTAAACAAATTGAAACTTCCCCAAAATATTATGATTAGCCAAATTACCAAGCAATTAAAAAGACAGTTGAAATTTCTGTTTCATAATTCCGCACATTCATATACTTCTTAATTAAAAAAACCTTTTAATTTTTCCACGGATAAAATATCTTATATTAGATGATATTTACAGAAACTTGAAACCCGTTTGTCTAGAAAACATTACTCTATATAATTAATTCTGAGGTTACCAAATATATTGGATTATGCCTAAAAATGCTTAATCCAATATCAATTCACAGCAGCGCCATAACTACGAGCATAAGACTAATTAATTGGACATGAGGATTGTGAATTAGTCATGACTAGATTAGATTAGATGAATGTCAATTTAAATCATGATCGTGAGTTGGCTGTGCAAGTGGCAGATTTCAGTACTAGAATTAGATAGATGGATGCATATTAATTGAAATAGAATTGGGCAGACGATACCTTTGGACGGCTGAGATTTTGTCGTCGTTGCTGTCCACAATCTGGCATACTTGGATGAGCAGGAGAGCAAAAAATAAAACAGAGTAAAGAGAGGACGACACAGAGCAGCACACACCACACACCAGAGGGAGAGACCCTGGGCAAAACCCCATGCAATCTCCCCTCCAAACCAAAAAATCGTTTCTGTTTTTTTATTAAGGTATTTTGTGACCTGCCATGCAAGCGCACCTGTCATGGCAAAGGTCGGATGACAAAGATCGGTCCAGGACACAGACCCTTCCTCTGAGCCTTTCGTCCCGACATCTTATACATCCGTTGCACAACCCAATCACCCATAAACCCCCCAGCTTTCAGCTTCCCGATCATCAAATTACAATTATGCCATTCGAATATTGAATAAACATACGTTTGACTCCAGAAGAACCAGATCTGCAGCTGAAACGACGTCGGATTTGGTTCAAAACGGTCAAGTCTTGGAAACTCCGAGGACTTGCTATGAACTCCATCATAGTCAATCAGAAACTGCATGAAACAGAAACTGTTAAGCTGAATTCTAGCAGATCTAACAAATTTAAACGAAAGCATAAACAGTATAGTCTTCTTCGAAATCTAGATAAGTTAAACGAATAGAAAACATAGACGAACCTCTAAATCTGAGCCAAAGCACGAAGAAGACGAGCTCAAGCTCGTAAAACCAGCTACGAACCAGCAGCTCAAAACATCTTCACAGCCTCAAATCACCATGAAAACGTAGATCTTGAAAAGACCTACGCGAATTCGAGACATAAAGGAAGAGAAAAGAATCCTTGCAGAACAGATCTGCAAGAGAGGAACCACGGAGGCGCATAGAGATGCGAAGAGAGAGAGAACATTGAGTCGTTGAATGGTTAGGAACCAACCCAACCTAACGTACTTTTATAATAGGATAAATGCGATGGACGGCTGCCATTGCGCCCTTATCTTTAAGATCGACGGCTGGTATGTTATAACGTGGTGGGGTGGTTAGGCGGTGGTATAATTTTCCACGTTACTGTTTTTGACCTTATCAACCACGACACGTTTATTTTGCCGCCTTGACAGCTGGGTCCACTATAATTAGGTTTCTCTCGCGCCTTTCATTCTAGATATTTCGGAATTTGGAAAAGCCCAAGCTCGAAATTACAGTCCTTGAATAGTTTTAACCGGGCCGGACCTAAGAAAAAAGATAAGAGACTACGGCCCGAAAAAATGAGAATTGGGCTGGGGTTTTTGGCCCAAACCTATTATTCCTTCAACAAATCTTGGTCAAATTGCACGTATTAACATCAAATTTCATAGGTCACAACCTTTAGATTTAGATACATAAAGAGAATAACAAAATCATACTAGGTTTCTTTAATGTAAAACTTTTTTTTTTATACAAGCGATATTGAAATCGAACACAAATAAATATCGACATAGTCCTCAAGATTCCTTCAATGGAAAGGTATTTCACTAATCATGTATTAGTCAGGGAGAAGATGACCTGACATTTATCGTTAATAATAATTAGATTAATGGTGCCTACTGTTGCTTGCTTAGCTCACTTTTGGCTGTCTTGGTTGTCTCTCAGCTTCGGCAGCCTGCCTTGGTCCTTGTTTTGCTTTGCCGCCAGTTGTTCCCTGTTGCTGCCGGCCCTGGGCTCTTTTTGTTTGCCTGACAGCTATATGAGGTTAAAGAGTAAAGAAAACATAAAACCGAAACACATGAATTTTAAATGGTATTGTTATTTTAGATCTGGGTGGATTCGAACCACCATCCTCCCAAAGCCCAATTATGGACCCGAGCGCTCTACCATTTTTGAGCTTACAGACCTTGATCTCAAATTCCACTCATCGACGCTAAAACGGGTTAAATCATATCTCCAACCATGGAACTCACCTTTCCAACATAGCTTACGTTTAACGACGACGGTCACAGGTCATCACCAAGGAGACTAGATTATGTGGAAATTAGGTTTACATCATACACGGGTTTCTTACTGATTTAACATGTTTTCCAATCCGAAGCAGCTCTGTTTTCATTCTCTCTTATATTCAACACTTACCAAAATTTTTAAGAAACCAAGATCAGAAAATACCGAGCAATTCACGAGAACCGCAGTGAGTGACACTTGGAAGAATAAAATTTCAGGTTCAAATAGGGAAACCACAAATGAACATCGACTAATTAACATGGAACAGTCTTTTCTTGATTTGCAATATAAGAATACAGTTTTTTTCATATCAAACAACATTTCAGAGTCAATAAGATCGATACCACACAACTACAGAAGATCCCACATAACCTACACAATTAATTTCATGCAGTTTCAAAAATAATGTTTAAATCAAGAACAGTTCCTCCATTTTCAAACCAAAACATCTGTCATCAAATCCCATCCCCCACCTTCTAGTCTACCCTAACCACCTCTACACGATCCCTAATATTTCATTTCATTAATCAGAGTAATCTATATGCAAAATCCACAAACACAAATGAGATTCAATGAATTATACATTATATTAATATAAGTAATTCATTATTCGACCAGAGCCACCATCATAATAACATAAGTTCAACAGAACAAGTCATGAAATTCTGAAATGAAATATATAGGCGAACTACTGCAAGAACATACATAATGAGGTAAAATAATTGAAAACGCTGATTGTAATAACTTCAATAACTTAAAGATGAAATAAAATGTAGGACACTGCTTATCGAGGCTTCGAATAACTTCCAGACACCTACAGTCATTTTTCACCTTATAATCTCCAGAAAGAGAATGCATACAACAGACGCCTTGGACCTTCCCACGACCGCACTGCTTTGTTCCGGTAGAAATCTTGTGCAATCTCCAGAGCTAAGAAAGCTTCCAGCAGTCACTCCTAAGAACAAACTACTGGGAATACAATCCACGGCTCAACGAAAAACGGAGCCAAATGATATAAAATTACAGAATATTACAGGGGATCTATATCTTTTGAGATCCCAATATATAACATAACATAAACTGTAATCCAGATTATAATGAATAAGTACTCAAAATAGTTCACGAGACACCATAAAATTTCATTTCAACTCATGCAATTAGCTGTAGTAACACAAGTAATTAAAAATGTTGCAAAGGTGATGGGAATCTGTGACGAAATACGTATCGCAAGGTATTTTAAATGAGTGGCATGGTGGTATGAGGGATTTGGGATCTGGACGAGCATACGACCACTTCTGTTTTACAGTATTATAGAATAATAAATGGATGCACACCAGTACAAGGAACTTGCCAAAAATATTAGTATTGGA